TAGGAAATGATCTAATAACAGACAACTGAATATACACATAATATGCACCACGAACCTGCTAGGATACCGAAATGAATAAAACAGTTCCTCTAATTATTTGGTATAAGGCTTATGAGAAACTATACAACTCCCACACTAACACAAGCAGGTATGGTTGTTGTACAGACGAAAAAATCCTACTTTTATGATTTATTACTTTATTCCTTTCTTCTGGACACATTACAAGAAAAACTGACAACCACTAGTACATCCCATTCACCTTCACGCCTAAAATTCTAAATGAAGCAGGTCTGAAAACAGCTTGTAATGTATGTCATGTTACATAAGGTCCTAAAATTGAACATTCAAACTTTTCATATTAGAACAATTAAGAGCAGTAAGGAGAGAGGAAAGCAGCAAAATACCATCTTTACTTAAATTTTCAAGACTTTACAGAAAAAAATAGATCTTGGTGAGAGTATTTCCTCAATTAGCAAAGGTTTTTAATTAGCAAAACTCAAACTGCATTTCAAAACAATCATCACTATAAGTAAAAATGTCTTGCAAAAATACACAATATTACTTTCCATGTATAAATCTTATTCCCAAAATGAAATACAACTGTCAAAATTTTACAATTTTTGTTAATAGCTGACATTTCTTTAGTGTTTAAAAGCCCCTGGAAAGTGCAAGTGGGGCTAAACGGTTACGTACTCAACTAATTGAAAAGTTGGTAGTCTGAATTCACCCAGAGGCACCTTGGAAGAAAGGCCTGGCAATCTACTTCCAAAAGATCACACCCACTGAAAACCCCTATGAAGCACATTTCTACTCTGAAATACATGGGGTCACCATAAGTCAGAGTTGACCCAACAGCAACTACTGGTTTAGTGTTTAATTCACACCAAACATTATCCTAAATATTTTTCATGTAATAAACCTTGTTTGTACCAAAAAATTCTATGAGGTAAAATATATTATAACTGTGTTACAAATAAGGAAAGAAAGGGACACAAATATTAAATAACCTACCCAAGGTCACAGAGCAAATAAATGGCAGTCAAGGATTCACAGACAGACTTCTGATCTGTCTTAAATACTACATAAACGTTGCTTAACGGACAGATTAGCAACTTCATAATCAACAAATGATTTTATCTGAGCTTTCACTCCATCACCAAATATTTATTTAACAGGTATTATGTGCCAGGCACTGAAGTCAATGATGAGTTCAAGATAGACAAAGTCTCCACTCTCTAAGTACTTCATCTGTTGGTGAAGGAGGGAAAACGGGGGAAATTTTTCAAAGTCTTCATTGCAGTGGAGAAAATAAAAGGAGAATTTAAGATCTACGTAAATGAACTAGAAAACCTGAAGGAACAACCTTCCCAGCAAAGGCTAAGCAAGGACCTGAGACAAGATCAGGCATATCTGTGTAACAGAAAAAAGGCAGTGAGGAACACAATGAGGCTGGAGAGGTTAGCACTGGCTAGTTTGTACAGGGTCTCATAAACAGCATTTGTAGACAAAGTTTGGTTTTTTGTTTGCAGGTAATTTTAATAGGGGGTCATTAAAGGTTTTATACAAGGAAATGACATGATCTGGTTGGGGTAAAAATATCACTTTGCCTACATATGAAAAACGGAAACTAAAACAAAGTTAGGATAAAAAAAAAAAAAATCAGTTGCCTTCCAGTGAATTCCAACTTACTACAATCCCACATGTGGCAGAGTAGAACGTGCTCCATGGGGTTTCCAAGGCTGTGACCTTTTGGAAGATCACCAGGTCTTTCTTCCAAGGCACCTCTGGATAGGTCAGTAATCAAGCACTTAACCATTTGTGCCACCCACGCTCTAAGTTAGGGTTAGGACACACTATTTATGGGAGTAATTATAGTATGAACCTGAGTTGTAATAGAGGAGATGGAGAAGAGTAGGCAGAATAGGATGCATTTTGAAGGAAAACAATACCTGCTGACTGACCAGATGTGATGAAAAATCGGAATGACTGTAATATGTAATCAAAGATGACACCAAGATTTTTGGCTATAGCAATAAATTAGCTAAATATTAATTTCCCCAAAAAGAAGAAACTGGAGGATAAAAAGGCTAGCATTCTGTTTTAAATATGTCAGGTTTCAGATATCTCATAGACGGCCACAGCTGGTATGCCTAAGGGCTCATTGCTATCTAATATTCAAAACTTCATCACTGGATGAATTTAATATGAACATGATATCATAAAATGCTAGGAAAAATCAGATGTTTTATAGCTCAGGAAAACAATGCAGTTATAAAAGGATTCTCCTATAAATTCACAATAAAAAAGATCTCAATCTATAGATCGGTTATGTATTTGTGCAATTTTCCAAACTTCCATTTCTTCCTGTCCCATTTCCCTACCTACTTATTGCCTGTTAGGATAAACTCCTAGTTACGCTGTCATGGTTTGAATTATGTCCCCCCAAAATGTGTGTATCAATTTGGCTAGGCCATGATTGCTGGTACAGTGTGATTTTCCTGTATGTTATAAACCTGCCTCTATGATGTTAATGAGGGAGGATGGGTGGCAGTCATGTTAGTAAGGCAGGACTCAATCTACAAGACTGGATTGTGTCCTGAGGCAATCTCTCTAGATATAAAAGAGAGAAGTGAGCAAAGAGACAAGGGGACCTCATACCATCAAGAAAGCAGTGCCCGGAGCAGAGCATGTCCTTTGGACCGGGGTCCCTGTGCCAAGAAGCTCCTAGTCCGGGGGAACACTGATGAGAAGACCGAGAGAGAGAGAAAGCCTTCCCCTGGAGCTGACACCCTGAATTTGGACTTTTAGCCTACTTTGAGGAAATAAACTTCTCTTCATTAAAACCATCCACTTGGGGTATTTCTGTTACAGCAGCACTAGATGACTAAGATATACGCAAAATCCAAATTGAAAAGTTCAAATAACCACCACTCCCAATTTTTGATGAAACAAAAGCCAAATAATTATCAGAGATCGTTTCTAAAAATCAACTCTAAGTACAAAAAAAGTTAAGTCACCAGGCCAGTATAAATACAGCCAAATCACCTAAGAAAAATGGTGTACTTATGAGAACACAGGCACAAAATATAACAAAGTGCATTTTGAAATAAAATTTTAATATTAGTTGAATACATTCAAATCCCTTGAAAATATTCGAATTCCTTAAAGCCCAATAATTCATTATCTTCATTAACCACTTAGGTAAAATATCCATTATCTAAATGTTTATGGAAGTTTAAGTTACTTGGTGTAAATTCTGTTCTCAGATTAAAATTTAAAGATAAAAACTTTACAAAGTAAAAACCCTCATTCTTAAATAAAATGCTGGGGAATGGATGATCCTGCCTCTTCTAAATTTAACAATAACGTAAGAATGAACTGTGTTCTATCATCTGTCCTATTCCAGAAAGTATCGGATTTAAAGAATTCTCAACTTTTAAACCTGAAAATTCTGTGAGATGTCTAGACATTAAGACAGTGTTGCAAACATCACTGTGCATCAAAATCACCCGGAGGGCTTGCTAAAAGATTCCTGGACCCCACACCCCAGACTTTCTGATTCATTTAGAACCCACATTTTTAACTAAAGCTCCCAAGTGACGCAGGTCCTACTGGACCCTGCTCCAATACACAGTACAATTTTTCATTAAGATCCCTTTCCTTATTAAAAGTATTTACTGAAGTTTTTTTTAAAATAGTGGAGTAACTTATGGAATCAGACATCTATCATGTATGTTCTAAAAGTATAGAACATATATACCTGAACCCAATTCAAAGTAATTATGGTGATGGCCAATTCTGGACTCAAAAATTATATTTTAAAGAAATTAATTATGTGATATTATATACCATATGAAATGTCTAAAATAGGCAAATCTAGAACAGGAAGTAGAGTAGTGGTTGTCCAGGGGTGGGGCCGGGGGAATGGAGAGTGACTGCTAATGGGTATGGGGTTTCTTTATGGGATGAAGAAAAGATTCCCAAGTTAGAATACGGTCATACAACTGTGTAAATATACTAAAACTCATGAACTGTACACTTTAAACAGGTGAACTTTATGGCATGTAAATTATCCCAGTAACCATGAAATGTTACACCAGAGTTCAAACAGTAACAATGTTAAATCAAATGTTGCCACTGTAACCATTCTTAATACATAATGAATTCTAATTAGAATATCAATAATTTTATAAATACGTGTACTTATTCTAATTAGAACATCCATGTTATGTGTGTTCTAAAGTGTTTTAAAGCTACTGTACACATATACAAAAATGCTCTTTATACTTACATCTGGCCTGGTAAGCTGACTTTTTGGTTAACAGCCAAGCTCTTAACCACTGCACCGCCAGGGCTCCACAGTGCCTCTAAAAACCGAACCCATTGGTCAAGTTGATTCCTATTCATAGTAACCCTGTTGGACAGAGTAGAACTGCCCCATAGGGTTTCCAAGGAGCAGCTGGTGGATTCGAACTGCTGACTTTTTGGTTAGCAGCTGAGCTCTTAATACTATTCCACCAGGGCTCCACAGTGCCTCTAGGGACCATATAAATACAGAGAGAAATATTCAGATCTCTTCTTCTCACCTTTCCCACAATATACAGTTTGTGTTGCTACTATCACAAAGCCTAAAACAGGACATCAAGCAGCCCTTTTAAAAACCACTTATGTTTATTAAATATGAACACTGAATACCTACATACTTTCATTCATCAGTCATTCTTCTGACTACAAAGAGGATCCATACATCCTTACATTTATAGTTAAGGAAGCATCTATTCCAATTAAGAAAAAAAAGTTATACCTACCATGTCTTTAATCTCTACCTTACAAATAAAGAAAAAAGGGGAGACTCAAAGACCTTTTCCATAGTTCCAAGATGATTTTAAAGTTTATTATTTTACTAGTTCCCCACTGAATTAATCTCTACTATTTTCTTTTTAAGCCCAATGACCCTACTAAATTAACTCTGATTTGCCTTTAGAACTAAAAGGACTTACGTCTCATGAGTTCCAAAAAAGAAAATGGGTAGTTTGTTTGTGGGTGGCTTTACAGCTCCATCAGGAACTTCATCTACCTAAAAGAAAGGTCAGAAAAATTAAAATCTTTTAAATCAGACATGCCTCAATACACCTGAATAAACTGAGAACAACATGCCCAAAAGAAATCTGATATAAAATGACCACTTCAACAGGTCCACAATCCCCTATCTCTAGTTCTGAAATCCAAGAATCTCTGAAAACTAAGATCTTCTTCAAAATTCATTTGTGGCAAAATCCCCGATAACAACGAGTCAACTGGGTCATTTCCTTTATCCTACCTAGCGCCAATACTGATGTTTCTGCAAAAATACTGTGTTCTGGTATTGTGTGCCAACCCAGACCATATCAGCAATGAAAGTCTTTCTGGAATCCCAGAATTCTGAATCCTGAAACAATCTTGCCCTAAGCATTTCAGATAAGGGAATGTGAACCTGTTCAGCAATCCTAAATGATACTTCTGCAACGACACTATACAAGTAACAGGGTTAACGTAAAAGTAACATTAGTAACACGTGTTTTAAAGCCGTATTTCCCAAAGTCTGAAACACATACCTACATGGCTGAATCGCGTAAGGTTACCCTTTCCTTTTTTTCATTTCTCTTTCATTCCTTCTAATTAAAGTCAAGATGAAGGTATCAGGTGCTACTATGTCTAATACACCTGTAATACCTGTTGTTTTCCCTTATTAACAAAAGGAAAACAGACCTCAGGGATAAAGCCATTCAACAATAGCATCTAGATAAACATTTCTTTTTTCAACTTCATAATTTTCATAATTTAATAGAGAAAATTTAAATAAAAATCAATTGATTTATTTAAGAAGGGAGCTGACACCAGAGGACCTACTACTTGCTGCTTTGTATGCATTTCAAAGACTTGAAGAAAAGACTAGGAGGGTGATGTAATTATCTGTGGGGCAGTCTGAAGCTATAGAAGACCAATAGAATAATTAACACCCAACCCCTCTAGGGACTTTAACTTCCCCACCTATATGGAGTCCTGGTGGCGTGGTTAAGAGCTACAGCTGCTGACCAGAAGGTCGGCAGTTTGTGTTCACCAGCTGCCTCTAGGAAACTCTATAGGGCAGTTCTACTCTGTCCCGTAGAGTTGCTATGTGTCGGAATTGACTCGATGGCAATGGGTTTGGGTTTTTTTTTGGCTATATGGTGAAGATTATACCCATCTATCACATCTATCATTTCAACTTTGTGGGGAGGCTACAAGAATTATAAAAATCTTTAAAACCAAAATACCAAACCCATTGATGTCGAGTCGATTCTGACTCATAGCAACCCTACAGGACGGGACAGAACTGCCCCATAGAGTTTTGGGACCTTAAAATAAGGGATATTTTCTGTCAACCAGGTTCAAAGGTTTCTGCTGGCAAACAGCCTTAAAGGCTTGTGCACCTAGAGAGCTGAATAAATGTTAGGCAAATTTTTTTTAAGTTGATTTTAAGAACATTACTGGTACAGAATTACAAGAATGCACAAAACTTAAAAATTAATGAACTCTGGGATACCTGAACAAAGAAAATGTTCAAATCAAAACTGCAACAATGGCTCTTAACAGCTGATACTTTAAATACTATTCTAAGCTCTCTAAGGCAAAGATTTACAATTTGTAAGACTAAAAAGATAGAAAAAGGAATACAGTGCTGGGACACAGGAAATACAAACCCAAACCCAAGCTGAGCTGCTTCTAAGATAAAAAGAGGGGGAAGTGAATAGAGACAAAAATTTCCCATTCCAATTAAATACAGAAGAGTAATACTGTGATCCTCCTAAGCCTACTTTTACTTTTAACAGCACTAACTCTTGGTCACCTAACATACTGAGGAATGCAGGAAGGATGATTTGGGAGAAAAGCAATTTAAAAAAACTTTCCACTTGGGTATTAACTGTTTTGTGGTATGGAAACCTGAATATAGATGTATCCTATTTTCTAACACCTCAACATAAAAAAAATAAGGACAATAAAACTGTGAAAAATTCTGGAATGGACTTAAATCCATCCAGTTTCCCTAGGCTCTACTTAAACATGAACTATAGAGTGTTTTATAAGTGCATGATTACATACTAAACACTGTAAGGGGTGTAAAGAAATTGAGTTTATGGCTATTGCCTTCAAGAAGCTTACAGTCTATCTGAATGTCAAAGAACCTACAAAGAAAGTTAAAAGGTTATCACAAAGGAAACAGAGCAGAATGTCAGATATTACAGACAACGATTATGATTAAGGATTGTTAAAGTAGATTTGATAGACTGGGGAAAAAGCTTTTCAGGTTGGGTAAGAAAACCTGTACACCTGAATCTGTAAAGAGCTGGATGGCGGGTCGGGGGTGGGAATCAAGGAACAGTACTTGGACAGTACTCTTTATTCTCCATTCGTCTCCCCAGCTGACATAAATAAAACTACCATTATTTGATTACCCTTAAGAAAGAGACTCTTCAAAGAATAAATTAGTAGAAAATAGTTTGGAAAAATAATTACAACTGCAGAATATAACATCTTTATATTTTAAAAGATCTCGAGTTTACCTCACCCCATAGGTTTCAACCTTTTTTTGTGTCCCATCTATCACTGTCTTACAATCTGGGTCCCACCATAAACTAACAAAATGACACTTACATATTGAGAGTCTCTATCTAAATTTTACAAAAAATCCTGCGGCCTTAATCACTTCTTTGTACCACTAGATGTAAACCCAAGAATCTGGTTCCACCCCTCCTTTTGCCTATGGGGAACAACCAGAGTTAAAACAACTTTTCAAGGTCATAAGGCATATTTTCATCAATAAAAAATGTGATACATTTTCCGGGCCTTCCTTGGTAGTAACTTATTGCACAATTCTCAAGAATATCCAGTCCCAAATCTCGTTATTAACAAACAAATCTCTAGAAGGCCTCATCAGTTACAACACATGAAGATCCCGCAAATTCAACTGAATCGTATATATATATATATATATATATATATATATATATACGACATCCTACAGTCTGTAATTTGCATAGATAACATATTTTCCGTTTTATTCAAAATTTAGAAAATGCTAATATTTCACTACTTTTTAAAACTAAGTCACAGATGCTTATTTTCATCTACAATGGAACATTAATTGGCATCCCTTTTGAATACTTTCTATTAAGAAAATCCATCAAAAAACAGACCATACAAGTATGTAGATCATTTGGATTTTCACAACTACATGTGCGATTAACTGGGTACAAACTGAAATGAAAAAGGTCAACTTACAAATGAAACGAAAGGAGAGGGAGGGGGAGAAAAGACATACACACACAAAAAAAAAACGAAAACAAAAAACAAGAGAAAGGGTAGGAAGCAGGCCTGTGAGCAAGAAGATAGCACCACCAAATGCGAGGGCGAAAAATCACTTACTCGAGCTGGCCAATGAGGATACCCTTTCATCTTGGCGAAGATGAGGTCTCCGGGTTTGAAATCGCGAGTCATGTTTCGGGGGCGACGCCGAGGGGTCCGGAGCCCAGCGAGGGGCTGCAGGCGGGAGTCGAGGCGGAGCCGGGCAGCGGGAGGAGGGGATGCCTCGGGGCGTCCGACGCGCCTGCGAGCGGGAGCAAGGAGGGCGGTTAGAGCGAACACGGGAGGGAGGGACCACGGGGAGGGGGTGGGGAGAGAGGGTGGGAGGCAGTGAGGGGGAGAGCCTCCTCCACCCCTCCCCCGAGTGCGCGGCCTTCGCAGCCCCCGAGCCGCCCCTCCCCCGGCTCGACGGCCAGAGACGCCACCAGCTGAAGCAGGGATGCTCCCAAGCCCAGGCCTTAGTTCTCCCGCCCCCTCCCTCCTCCGGCTTTTCTGCAAGAGGCTTAAACCCCAAAATGGAGGGGGATGTGTGGAAGAGAAAAAAGAAGGCTTAAGACAGCGGTGAGTCCCCCTTCCGCCCACGGACGACCACCCTTCCCCAGCATGCTTTCCGTCGCTCGGGCCCTGGCCGCCCCTCGGCCCGCGGCCGGGCCGCGTCCACTTCCCCGCTCAAGCCAGCGGCGAGGCCACCAAGGGGGGGGGCGGGGCGAGTCCCCGCCGCCCGCTCACCTGCCGGGGCCGCGGGCACGGAGGCTGCGGTTGCGGGCCAGCCGCCTCTGCCCGCGTCCACGCAAGCCACCTGCGCCACCAGCTGCCGCAGAGGCGTCTCAACGGCTCCGAATCGCAACCGCCGCCGCCGCCGTAGCTGCGCTGCTCCCGCGCGGCTCCCGCTCGGCGCCCGCTAGCACTGGGCGGGACCAACTGCTCCCCGAAGGAGGGGGGAAAAAGCAGCACCCGCCTAAGGGGTATGGCTCTGAAGCGGAGCTTCTGAAGACCCTAGAACCCCAAGTTCAGTTTTCCCCAGCCATTGCCGCCAGATGGAGAGAAGGATGGTTGTAAGGGAAAAAGGAGTGGGCGAAAATACTGCGGCCCACTGCGGCTCCCCCCTGTGGTTTGCAGAATGGTCGGGCCCGCCCCGCCCCTGCTGGCTGCTCTGCGTGTGTGTATTTGTCTGTGTGCTGTATGTAAAAGGCGGGGAGGGAGGAAACGATTGTTGTGGACGGGCTTGGGGGCGGGTATCCGGACCTCCAGCCTTAGGCTGTGTGTTAGGGAGAACTTGGCAGCCTAAACTGCTTGTACTTGCTTCGTTTCCCCGGGCTGGGAGCCTTTAATGCTGCATTTGCGCGATTTGCACTATCCAAAAAAAGAGGAGCAGTAAAAAAAAAAACCCATAGACGAAATCGGAGCATGAGGCAGTTGCAGGGCGTGCAGCCTGTAGGCCTCTTGCACCTCGCTGAATGGGGCTTGCAGTCTCTTTTTCCTTGAAATTGTAACATGAGAGAGCCGCGTTTCGTTGCTTTTTAAATTTAAAGCACCAAGAACTCTTAAGAAAAAGGCAATCCTAACGATTGAAAATGTGAAGCATAGAAAACAATGACAGGAAAGCATACGCCTTTTAGATAGGATGTGGGTTTGGGCCCGTGCTAAATTTTAGCTGCATCTAAATTTTATTCTCCTAATAGCATGGCAGCTGGTGGGTGGTACAATCTGAAAGTGTTATTAAACCTCAAATGTTTTATCTCTCAAGATACTCAAAGATGATTATTATTTTTTTTTTTAAATCCTTTAGCCAATAAATTTTTTAATATGTTAGAGCCCTGGTGGTGTAGTGGTTAAGAGCTGCGGCTGCTAACCGAAAGGTCGGCAGTTCGAATCCACCAGCTGCTCCTTGGAAACCCTAGGGGGCAGTTCTACTCTGTCCTGTAGGGTCGCTATGAGTCATAATCTACTCGATGGCAACGGGTTCGGTTTGGTTTTAGTAGTACTATGACTAGCCTTCTGAAGTGAATTGATACTTTAATATTTTACTACACCAGAGCTATGTCACCAGCACTGTCTAATTTTATTTACCCATTAACATTCACTCAGGTTTCCAATAAATGTGTAGTAAGACATTTTGAAAATTATTAAGAATTAATCTTAAATTGTGCTTATCTTTGCATTCAACAACAACAAAAAGAAAACCTACTGTGCATCAAGCAAGCACTCTTAGGTGCTAGGGATACAGCTAGGAACAAGCACAGATGTTTCCCATTCAAAGCAGAGGCTGAAAATATGAAAAAGGGCATAATAATATTAAAACATACAAGTATTAGTACCTAGTGAATACTCCTTTAAATAAAGGACTCACAATTGGGACTAAATCAGGAAAAGCTTTCTTGATAGGTAGAAATTAAGAATATTTTGAAAGAGATACGCATGCCTTTAAAAAGAATGAAAGAAGGCATTCCCAATGTATTGTTGTTATTAGTTGCCATGAGTCAAGTCAAACTCATGGTGACCCTATGTGTGCAGAGTAGAACTGCCACACAGGGTTTTCAAGGCTGTAACCTTTCTGAAGGAGACTTGGTGGCACAGTGGGTTAAGAGCTTGACTGCTAACTGCAAGGTCGGTGGTTTGAATCCACCAGTTGCCCTTTGGGAGAAAGGTGTGGCAGTCTGCTTCACAGAGTAGAGCAGTTCTACCCTGTGCTATAGGGTCACTATGAGTTGGAATTGACTCGATGGCAATGGGTAATGGGAACTTTTTGGAAAAGGATCACCAGGCCTGTGGGTGGGTTCAAACTACCTACTTTTTTGCTAGTAGTCATCCAGAACTTAAGCATTTGCACCACCCAGAGTCTCTAGTCCCAATATATAATACCCTACAAAGAATTTGAAGAGATTTGATCATACCTAGGCAATATGCAGAGGGTTCCAAATGGCGTATAAACAGAAATTGACTAAGGGAGAGAGAAGAGTTGGTGAAATGTTTTGAAGCTTCTCATTCTGAATCTGAATTTGATATAATGTAGCAAGGAAGTGGCAAAAAATGATTCTTAAGAAAGTTATCCTTTCTGCTTCCAAGTAAATGAAAGTAGAAAGCAGCTGGAGGTAACTGTGTTGTTGCTAAGTGTCATGGAGTCCATTACTACTCATAGCAACCGTAGAGAACAGAGTAGAACTGCTCCATAGGGTTTCCAAGGAGTGGCTGGTGGATTTGAACTGCTGACCCTTTGGTTAGCAGCCAAGCTCTTAACCACTACAACCACCAGGGCTCCAACCGTAGTACTCCCCAAGTGACCCATTTCCGGATGGGCCCAGTGAGTATGAAAAAGGGAAGGAAGGGCACAGGCAAGTAATTCCACAAAGGAATAATTGTCAGGTGTTGGTCATAAATCATGAACAGAAAATATATTGAAGAAAATGCCAGGATGCTGCGTAGGAGAGACCCAGGCTGATGCAACAACAATTTCTTCTGCAGGTCCTTTGTGCTAATCCCTGTCAGGCCTTGCACCTAACTCCAAGTGTGGTCCAGGGCCCAGCAGCCTGGGCTTCACCTGGGAGCTTGTTAGAAGAAGCTCAGCCCCTCCCCAGACTTACTAAATCAGAATCTGCATTTTAACAAGATCCCCAGGTGATTCTTACGCATATTCAAGTTTGAGAAATACTGCTGTAGAGGTTTCTTTACAGTGGACTGCAGGAACTTAAAATCAAGTGGGGAAGACAGGACATATACTAAATAAATTATGATTAATATTGGAAGGTAACTTTTTATTAGTGCTAAATGATAGTACCAACAAGTAAAGAGAGGGTGGTTACTGTGAGTGAGTTGGGGCTTCAGAAAAGAAATGGAAAACAGAAACGCAGTGATGGTTTCGTGTTAGTGCGGTATTTTGTTGTTTGTTTGTTTTTAAGTATGAACTTAGCTCTTGCTATGTTTAAGTTCTGGCAATTTCAGCTTGTGATAGTCTGTAGACAACAGGTGATACCCTTTAAACAATGAGTCAGGGCAAAACAGGAGGTTTAAGCCTCCAGAGAACAAAAGGCCAGCCTCCCTGGGAGCAGCAATTTGGAATCTGAAGAGGGGGGTAAGGAGAGAGGAGGCTGGAGGGGAAGGAGGAGAGGCAGGGGGAAGAGAAGGCTGGGTTCATCCCAGCTTGGAGGGTTTTAACTACTGTGGACCTGTGCTACTCTGCCCCGTAGTTAGTGGGATGTAAGAAAAAGTATAGCCAAAACAGAGATCAGAGAAGCAATGAGAAAGCTACAAGGAGAAAGAATTCAGTTTCCAAGACAAATGAAACAGAGGAAAGGGAAAGGAAACCTAAATGTACTGAGGCAGGAGTTGGACATCCACATTCTCTCATTTAATCCAGGTGTTACCGTCTCCATTTTACAGATGAGAAAACAGGCTCACAGAAGTTAACCAACCTGCCCAAATCACATGTCTTGGAGTCCCTGGGTGGCACAAACGGTTAAACACTCACCTACTAGCCAAAAGGCTGGCAGTTTGAACCAACCCGGAGGCTCCACGTTAACTGTCAAGTGGCAGAGGCAATGTTCCAGCAAGTCTGCACTACACCCTACACCGCCAGTAGGTGGAGCAGGAGGACAGCAGCACCATGGTTAGAAGCGCCTGTAATTAGAAAAAGATGCTGGAAAAAAAAGCAGCCTGGCACTCTTCCATCGTCTTTCTTTGGACTTCAAAGTATTCCCAGCTTCAAATTTCCTAACAACCTACCCCACCCCAACCCACCCCATTTCTGAGCTTGTTCCCACCAGCAGCCCATTCTATTTAATTTCTTCTGGTCCTAAAGGACTCAATCCAACAATCATCCCTGGAAAGGCCTCTGACTTCATCTTACTGTAGCATAATTTCTTATTTACAATCTCCCCTACAAGTCTTTAAACTATTTAGGAGTAGGCGCTATCGTATTCATCTGTGCCTGGCACTTAGCAGGTACTCAGTATTATCGTTGAATAAATGAGAAGAAGGGACTGGTGAAAAATCCTGACAGGGACTCCCTTATCCTATAGGCTAAGAAAGCAGATACGAAGACAGGAGAGCCAGGGGGATTATCCAATAAGCAAGGTAAGCACAGGTTTACTTGTGCTTACTTACTAATCTGTAAGGAATAATTTCACATGGGTTTCACCACATGAAGGAAAGAGTATCTGTATTTGTTTTAACTTTGTGGATTTTTCACACTTGAAGGTTAACCCTTTAAAAGCACTGACTTTTTTATTGACTACAAATACATTAATTTTCACCATTTTAATGGAAATCTTACTAAAGCAGGACTTGATACAGATCCTGAAAATTTGGCAATAATAACCCCTCTCACATCTTTTACATAGAGTATACATCTTCTCCTCAATACACTAATTTGTAAGACACCTTAAACACAGGTATGAACAGCAATTATTGAACTGTTTTCTTATATGTGATATTTTAAGTCTTGATAGTTAATGGGAAGTTAGCAAGAGTATGAGAAAAATAAAGAGCATTAATTAAATAGTTTAATCAGGGAGGTCATAAATCTGGACTAGATCTAGCTTCCCCTGGAAATCAGTAAGTGCTCAAAGCTTTGGTCCTTAGGTGGGGAAAAACCAAGATGCACTAGCTTGTGAGGGAGTGACTAGATATACTGCTGAGCTGGCTTCCCAATGGGTAGAAGAGGGTTGTTTTCAGACACATGGGATAAGAGAAGACTTAATTAAGAGTCTAGGTGTTTGTTAGAACAGCTAGAAAGAAACTGGACCACCACACGGATTGACAGTTGATGCCTGTTTGGAAGGCTGCCTGGACTATGTGCTGCTCCAGTGGAATTTGTAAAATCACTACACGACCTCCACTGTGACCACTTCTCACCTCAGACACTTGTTTTGCTTCTTTCTTCATCTCTACTTCCCTAGTCAGTTAAGGCTTGTCTTATTCCGTGTGT